TTAAAGAAATATTTTTTGTTTTGCCAATAACCCAGAATCTGAAGCTATTTTTAGTAAAAATTTGTGAATATAAATGATAAATGCTTAGTAACATACTGCAGAACAATGACGAGAATAGACCGCTGTTGAAGCTTTCTCCATGCTGCGTCTAGCTGAGAATGCCATATTTGCTTCTGGCATGCACAGATGTGTGAATAAGTGCATTTTAACTAATGCCCAAAAAGGATGTTGTTCAGTGCAACTCAGCGATGCAGTTTCGCATCCACCATTGTGAATGCTATAATACACTGAAGTCCTGGCATGTCCTATTAGCCGCGTCAAAAGAACTCAGGCACAGCACGAAAACGCCATATAAATTTGGAGTAACAAGCGACTGCAAATTACGACAATGATTTTAGTCGTTCGTTCTTGCTGCTTACCGATGAATCAGAAGACGAAGTGGAAAAACTTTCCTTACTAAATATTTTCGACCCAAAATCGCTACCTAAGTTGACAACTAAATGTGATCTGAAGATTTTCGTCTGAACAGCATAAACTTTCAAGGATGTCCTAAGCCAGTGTAGGAGATTTCGTCAATACTAGCAGAATCAAATGTTATCGATTGACGTGGTTTTGGCAAGAACGGCCTAATTTGCATCCAAGAAAAACAGTACTGGTTATGAGTCACTGCAATGAGCCTAACGAATCATATCGATTGATACCTGCAACTGCGAGTTCCAACGGACGTCGTCCGATAGGTCGACGTTGATACCGAACTTTATCACCTTTGGCTGACCGTCAGCGAACGACTTCTTGCCGAAAGGGTCACAATCGCCGGCCAAAGAACCGTTGCGCGAATTGGCTTTGCTGCGCTCGTGTTCTTCCTACAACCAGCAACGCTGCTGTCGTCGTGGATGGTGGAAATCGAAAATCGCTCACCTTTAACGACTGCTGGAACGACTGCAACTGGTAGTGCGCGTATTTGGCGACAGATGTGATGGAGCGCGCATTTTCAACAGCCCAAGAGCTTTCTTTTTTGGTGATGATGCCCGGCTCGTTTGGGTAGTAGAGCTGAGTGCGGACCTCGACCTGAAAGTCAGGCGCCGTTTCTACTAAAGTCTTGGTCGAAAACAGTCCCAGGTCCAGCTTGATGGCCGACGTCAGACTTTTGATCACCGCGAACTGGTTGCGGTAACAGAACTGCTGAAGTTCAGTCGCGTTCGCGTCCTTCTTCGTGTCGACGATTACGGTTGGCGTCGACAGGAGCAGCTAAACAGATGACAGAAAATTAATGTCGCCTGTGACCAACCAGCCACTGCGCTGCCGCACCTCTAACCTCTCAGACTCAGTCAGCACTGGACTCACCTTCTCTTTCGAAAGCGTCGGTTCAGGGACCGGCAGCTTCGGCAGGGGCGCATGCTCATCATACGCTGTCATCCCGTTGGCCATACCCCAGTGTTTGCACAAGTTGATAATTTCGTTTGCGGAACAAGTGACAGGAAAATTT